CCCCTTTAAAGGGACCTAATTACTTGGAACCTGAGGGATCCTTGATTTCGGGGGTGTTTTAGGGGATTAGGCTAAGGCTCAGGGGATGGTCCAGGATATGGCTGACGTATTCCGCGAGTAATCTTAAAACTTCTAGGTTGGGTACTGCCCCCACCCAGTAACAGTTTATATTAGGGGTCCTATTAAGAGCTATGTATAGCCATAGTATACTTATTATCCAACTGTTACTGGGTGGGGGCAGTACCCAACTTCTAGGGGTTAGAGTTTGAAGCTCTGCAGTCAGGGTTTAGGGTTTAGGGTTTACGGTTTGGGGAGGTTCTAGCTTGGCCCCAGGTAACAAAGAAGCCTGAACAGCCTAAACCAAGAGGTTTGTCTAGCTTGTAAAGCCCAAGAGTCACGGACCATTGCGCATGGGACAAAACCCTGAGAAGCCTACCCCCTACATCCTAACAGCCCTAAAAACCCTAATAACCCTTATTCCTAACAGGCCTAATAACCGTAAAGCCTTCATAACCTCTAATCTTTGTGCCCTTGCGTTTTGGTTGGTCCTAGAAATCCGAAAAACCCAAACCCAAGCTCACAGAGCCTAATTTAGGGTTCAGGGTTTCAAGGGTTGAGGGCTTGGGGTTTAGAAATTATGGTTTGGGCTTTAGGGTAACATATGAGCCATAGTCTAAACTCCTAGTATCCCCCTTATAACCCCTATAGTACTTCCCTATATAATCCCCTATATAACCCCCCTTCAAGGAGTTTGGACTATAGCTCATATGCTGAGGATGTGGAGGAGCTGGACAGCCATGCCTTGCAGCGCAGTACCCTCTCCAAGCCAAGGCGGCTTCAGGGTTTGGGGGTTTCGGGATTAGGTTGCTGGGTTGAGGGTTTAGCGTTCGTTTCAGGGTTTGGGGTTTAGCGTTTGGGGATGCTTCTCAATGTTCATCCCTGCCCCTGGTAGTTTCGCCTTGAATACTGTATGTACATTTGTTAGCAGGCAGTTGTTCAAATGCCTGTCCCCAACATGACCATAAGGTAGGTTGGTGTTTTGGGTAAGGAACCCTGTTTAAGGAAGTGCATTCTCCGGTGGTCCCTTCTTCATAAGGACCCTCAGAACAACCCCCATCTAGATATATGGAGACATATATACAATAAATCCCCTGCTTTAAAAGGCGGTACTATATTGGGAAGGTTTATTCTTAAGGGCTTGGACCCTTGCATACTTGGGGATAACGCAGGGGGAGTGAACTTACTGGCCTATGGTTAGCTAGGACTGAAGGACTTATAGTAGTCCCTATATAACCCATTATAGTAGTTTCCATGTCCGTTTCCATTCCTTCATTCGCAGCTAGCCGAAGGCCAGTTTAGGTCGTAGGGCTTGCAGATGCTTGCTGTGGGGCTTCCCGAGAATCCTCACTAGGAACCTGCTTGATAATAATCTCGCAAACTCGTATATCCAACCTAACATACCCTAACCCTAAACCCGAAACCTGAAACCTAGGGGTAATCCGTAATATCCACCCTAACCCTAACCCCTAAACCTTAAACCTAGGGGTAATCCGTAATATCCACCCTAACCCTAAACCCTAAACCTGGGGGTAGCCCATTTTTGGGAAGCTCTCAGGTGGAAGCGTGTCTTGTTCGTGACCTTCATCACGCTCCTGGTGTTCAGCTACCAGGTCACTTTTGCATTTTAGAGTTTCTAAGGTCTGGGGTATAGCGAACTCACCGTACAAACCCTGTAATCAGAAGCCTTATCCCTGTGTAATCCCCATGCATCTACTAAACAATTGGGGAAAATATGGGGGAAAAATATTTTTCCCCAATTGTTTAGTACTTGATATTCATGTTGAAATCGCTACAAGGTCAACCGGTGGGGAGATTGGTTGAAATCGCAATTTCGCTCCCTATGGTCCTGGCGAAGCCGCCGCGATGATTAAGGCTTTTGCCAGAGGGGAGACCCAGTTCCGTTTTAAATGTGTACAGTCCAGCATAAGGAGATGCCCTCACCGTTCCTGCTGAATCCAAAGTTCCAGCAAAGAATGTTCGGGCAGCGGTAAAGCGCGCCCGGCCATGACGCAAGTGCAGCTGCCAGAAAAGCATCGTGCTCACACAGGCCCCCTGAATGAGGGGGTCCATTTTTGCTAGGCTTCAGGGGGTCAGTGTAGAGATCACGCGCCCTGTGGCGTGGGCGAGCCCATGCTACTAGGGTTATAGTCCGAATAAAAACGATTCTGCAGCCGGTTTGGTAGACCCTGGTATCATAGCCTTTGGATTTGGAATCAGGTTTGAGTTTCAGGGTTGAGGTTTTAGGATGCCCATAGTTGTCCTTTGTACTCTTAGGTTTGGATCGTTAAGCCGTGGAATGTTGGGCTTACATGGGGCGTTTGCGACCCCAAGCCCAAGATAACAAACCTCAAGAAAGGGTTTAGGGTTTAGTTTTTAGGGTTTTGGGTTTAGGGTTTATGGACCCCACCTCTCAACAAATGATTCAGATGCGTCGAATCTGTGAGAACCTTAAAACTGAAACCCCAAGACCTGAACCAAATCCGTGCGACCCAGGTGGAGTGGAGACCGCGATGTACGTCTGCTGCCTCTCCCTTTTCACCCAGGCCCCGCGCTTAGGGTTTAGGGGGATGTATTAGGGTTGTACAGGGGTTTATGTAAGGAACAGCTGGGCGTCATCTTATAGGGATTTTACAGAGATATGGCACACAACAATCGAGGATCAACGGGAACAAAAACATGGAATATCTGGCGGAACTTACAACCCCTTGAAGCTACCCTGAATCCTAAACCGTAAACTATATATGTATGCACACATCCCTGTAAGTCCCCGTAGATCCCGACATCCCTACATGCCCTTGTAAAGGGACCGTATATAATCCATCATAATCCTTTGAGAGGGACCCTGAACCCTAAACCCTAAATACATTATAATCCTTTGCAAGGGACCCTAAATCCTAAACCCTAAATACCGTATAACCCTAAACCCTAAACCCTAAATACCTTAAAATCCTATGCAAGGGACCCTACGTGTTTAGGACCTTCCATGACAGCGCTGCGAGGCGGCGGTTGCCACCGCGACTCCCTTCATCACCAGAGCAGAGCTTAAGGCAGGGTTTAGGGTTTAGGGTTTAGGGATCCGGGTAGGCCCCTGAAATATTTAGTATTTTCCCTAATGGCTTTAATAAGGGACCCTTTATACTAATGGTTTTCAAAGGGCTTTAGGGGCCAACCCAGGGATTAGGGTTTAAGGATTATGGTTCGGGGATTAGGGTTTAGAGTTTGAGGGTGGATCAAGGTTTAGGGACTAGGGCTTAGGGATTAGGCTTCCAGTTCCTGAGGGGTTCAGCATGCTGAGGTTGGGGAGGTTACTTGAGCTATAGTGTAAACTCCTTAAGGGAGGGTTCTGTAGGAGATAATATAGGGGACTGCTATAGGGGATATTAAGGGGGATACTAGGAGTTTAGACTATAGCTCACTTGCTGTTGACAGCAGTGGCTGAAGGAACAAAGAAGGAATTGACATTTATGTTTACGGTGTACGTGTTTAGAGTGAAGAGCCTGACGGAAAATGGAAGTCCTGTAAGGTGGGAGCTTCTAACACCACCCCTCTTGAATCCCACCGTTGAAGCCCTAGCATACAGGGTTCAGGGATCGTTTTTTTTATATATAGGGAATAGGGTTTAGCGATTTGGGTGTTGGGTTCGGGGTGTGCCCTCTTCCAAATTAACATAAACTTGCAGATAGCCCCAGTTGCGGGCGCCATAGGGCTCCTTTTCGAGATTCCTGCTAGGTTAGGGTAGCATTGCACAGCATTGTGGCCATGATGCGACCCTCAACCCTACAGTAAGCGCCTAAACCCTGAAACCCTAAACCTTCCCCTAGCAAGCTCTAAACCCTAGTCCATAAACCCAAAAGCCTACACTCTCTAGATTGCCCTTGCCCATCCTGATCTAACGTTTGCATCATTGTAGACGAAAAAAGTCTGAGGAGCTCGACAAAAACTCTCTAGAGTTCTAGAACCCCTACAGTAACCCTTAACTTAAAACCCTTTACTCAAAACCCTAATATCCAAACCTTTTCTAAGGAACAAAGTAGCAGGCGTCATATTCCCCCTTCCAGGTGGTGCCTGGAACTGTGGATATAGTTGACTTTGCCACTGCTTGGCCTCGATTGTCCCTCGGCTTCAGTTTTATCGTACGCCGCATTGAGGATGAGTGTATATATATATATATATGTAGGGATATATAGGGATTCTAAAAGGTACAATCCGGGATAGTACCAATATAAGGGGTAGTCACATCGAAAAGAAAATGGGCAATGAAATGGAAGCTGGCAATCTACACAGTTTGTATACGGTTGGTACGGAAAATCCTGCATCACCATGGTATTCTACTATACTAATGTTATACAGCTTTTAGATACTACCCACAAAATGGCTACCATTGGAACCCCCTTCTGCGCTCCCTGAAACTAATATGTCCAAATGGGCCTTGATGGGCCCTAATGATTTTGAATAAGGGCTTTCCTTGTGCGGGCTCATGTACCAGCGGGGGGAAAGGGCCCTAAACCCTAAACCCTTCAGTTTATAAGTTTCAGGGCAAGCACATGTATTGTAAAAGCCCGAAAACTTAGTAGTCAAATACTATAATCCCTTTTATTGGGACCCCCAAAATTAGGGGTTTAGGGTTTAGGGGCCCAAAAGGGTACCCGGGAAACCCCCATATAGTTGTACATGTAGTTTAAGGATCACCGGCCACAAAAATGCATACTTGAATGGGCCCCTGCGCTATGGTTCAGGCATTCAGATGTAGCCTTTCGGTTTTCGGATCTCGGGGCGTGTGTCCTCGCTTCACGCCCATGGTTCTGGCAGATACATTAGGTAGATCCCCCGCCCTGTAGTAGTGACTACAAGGGATAATAAGCATTGTAGTAGGGTCCTGTTATATTCCTATTACACCACTACGACAGGGTTGGGGGTCCTCCTAACACGTACACCTCCGATTGAGGAGATTTTATTTCACGTGCACCTCCGCTAAGGAGATTTCATTTACCCCAACCCCTACCCTAGGGCTCCAGTTACCTGAATAGTAGGTTACTGGGCTATGTAACTATAGGGAATATAGAACCCAGTTCCCATTATTTAGGTAACTGGAGCCCTAGGGCTACAGCAAGGACCTTATCACATCACTGATAATGGTGGCTTGGCATTAATGTATGCCCCTTCGATTGATATATCTCCATTTTGGGAGGGCCCCGGAATGCTAATGATGCCCAAAAAGGCAGGTTTCACAAACTGCTTAGAATAGATACAGATATAATGAATTCAAGTCATTGTCGCTGAAACATAGTATAATGATAACGCTCCCAAAAGGTAGTTTTGAACAACTGCTTAGAATAGATAAAGTTAAAGTCATTGTCGCTGAAACGTAGTATTTTCCAAAATCGTCATTGTGGGTATACTTGTAAGATTATGTTCCAGCGTCGGGATTTCATAAATGTTGGTATCGTCACTCGTTGAATCAACATTAGGTTTATTAGGGTTATCAAGGGACTGTAGAGAGTGGATAGTATACTTTCCCCAAATAGTGGGACCCCAACATAGATCCCAATGTACCATAATCCTTATTATCGGGACCCCCAAAAGGGTACCCTAAACCCTATAAACCCTAAACCCTTAACTTTAGGAAACCTTTGTAGGGGGTCGTTTGGCAGTTTGGCATCCTAGAATCCCCTTGTTAGCCTGACACCCGAAAGCCTAGACCCTGGACCACCGTCATTGCGGTTTAGGGCTTATATAGGGTTTAGGGCTTAGGGTTTAGGGCTTACGGCATCACTGTCATCATATCGTTTTGCAGCATGAACTTTAGCAATCACTATGTAACTCTCCTTGAATCTCTGAGGCTCTAGCACATCCAGGATTTGCTCAACATGTGGGGTGCTTGAGACATGCACATGGACCCAAAACTACCGTGAGCCCTGACAATTGCTGTAACCTAAACCCCTAAACCCTAAAGCCCACAAGTATCATGGAAGCCTGAGCAATTACCAATAGAACTCCTTCAACATCCTCTTTATTGTCCTACTAGATTAATTCTACCGGCAATTTTACTCTCACCAGTTAGACCCCGAACCCTAAACGCCTAGTTCCCCAAACAACCTCCCCTCTTTCCTCGAGGATACCCCTTGAACATACTCCTTACTCTACTCGAGTCTTAAAAACATATAGCACCGACTAACGGGGGACTTACCGACCCGGATTGGTAGGGGAACCGTAACCCTAAAACCTAAACCCTAAACCCAAACCCAGTAACCATAACCTGAAACCCCAAGCGCTGGTATGCAAGGCGTTTTTTGCAAGTCGGGTGTGGTATCAATCCAGCCCCAAAGCTCTAACCTGAACCCGCAAAAGGTTTATGGTTTAGGGTTGTAGGGTTTTAGGGTTGAGGGTTTAGGCTGGTTTAAGGGTTCTCGCCGATTATTTTACCTACTGCTGGGGCATAGGAAAGCCTAAGCTCAAGATAGTTTTCAACTCGCAGGTACGTTTTGATGAGCTCGCTGCGGTGGGTAGGGGCAGCAGCAATGTGCGCCTACCGATTTAGGGTCGAGGGATTTCGGTTCAGGGTTCATGGGTCTTCCGCAGTTTCAAGGGAATACTTTTGTGCCCGACACAGAGTAACATCGAAACCGAAATCCGTTTGTGCATATGGCTTTTGCAGGAAGAATATAATGAATCTTACTAGGTTCAACCACCTAAACGGGGGGGAATGGAAGAGAGAATGCTAACTTGTGAGCTAGACGCACCTAACGTACAACCCTAAACCGTGAACCCTAAACGCCTAAAGCCTTAGAAGAGTAAGATGCGTCGAGCAAAGCTTCTGGGGCGATGCTGTGCTATGATAGAGGAAAATGTTAGGTAAACCCCCCCACCTTGT